CTGCGACTACGGCTTCAGGTTTGGCGTTCGGAGCCGCGCGCAGGTTCTGCCTGTGGCGTCCAAGACGGGGCCAACGATTGCCATATTCTGTTACAACCTGTTTCTCGACAATGGCTGGGAATCAATCTCTGCCACGGAATGGGCCACGCCTTGGACTGACGGAAGTGACACGGTGAAATGGAGATTCCCGGACTTGGTTCGGGTGGGCCGCCCCGCAGTGAACAACCAAGACCCCTTGGTGAATGATGTGTCGGCTCACCTCGGGCAAGCTGTGGCAAAGGATAGCCACGCACCATGGAGACACTGGGCTCGAAGTCAGACACGAAGCCCAAGATCCCGATATCCCCCCATACCTTCTGGGTGTTCGTTTCCCCCCACTGCCCATACTTTCCCAACATCTTACGGGGAGTCCACGACTCACTGTGTCTTTGTGCTTTCCCGCTCCTAAAAGTATACGATGACCGATCCACGTGGAGCGCGGTCGCCACAGCTGCAAAAGAAGCCAGCCCCCACACAGGTGTGCCCGGCCGAGGCCCGCAGGCAGCAGAAGCCCACTGCTGCGGCGAGGCCGCTCGTCCACGGCGCGGGAGGGCCGGGAGGAGGCCCGTCTGGCGCGGCTCGGCCAGGGAGCCTTGTGCAGATTGTCTCCGCGGCGAGCGAGGGGGGGCGGGGAATGAAGGGGAGAACGCCGACTCAGAAGGCGGCGGGACTTCTCAGAAGCCCTCGCGCCTTCTGGTAGGCTTTCGGTGTGAAGGCTCAAACAACTTCTCAAACGCCAGTGGAATCCCGAGCCTTCTGAGAAGGCCCGCCCCTTCTCACTTGCCCGCCGGGCTCGCCGCCGATTGCCCGTGAGGGTCATATGATAAACTATAAAGCATCACAGACATTACACACGGACATACATATACTCCAGATTTCGTAATAAAAGGGAGGGGGTCTGGACCCTCCAAGACAAGCCATTTCAGACCTCCCCCGTGGGAGAACCCTCCGAAACATCGTCCCCAGACCCCCCAGGCCCTCCAAGATAGCCTGGAAGAGACCCCCCCCCGAAAAAAATGAGACCCCCCTCCCTCTATTACGAAATCTGGCGTACTCACATGTATGCGAGAACCACGCGCGCTCAGGGTCCAGCAAGCCCCAGCCACTGACTGGCTCACAGCTGCACGCATGCGCGTACCCACGAATGTCCCTACCGTGATCTGAGTAAGAATGAGTACGAGTGCGGACCGATCAGAGAAGGGACTCTGGAAAGCTCCTCGAGGGCACTGAGGCTCATATGTTTTGGAGGGTGAAAGAAGGGGTCTGCAGCACGGGGTATTCAATAGGGGCTGAATGGCCCATGTATGCTCAATGTATCGCTCATGTATGTGATCGGGTATGATTGGCATCAAATGTTAGCAGTCATGGAGGGCCAATCGTTCGTGCCCGCGCGTCGCCCGCGCGGGCAAACGCGCCGTCCATCCATGATCGTTCATGCGTGCGGGCGTTCTTGCATATCGCGCGTGGGGCGGCGAAGTGGCGTGCAAGTGTGTGTCTTGATTGTGCGATCGATGACCGTGTATGTTCCCAAACGATGGTTTGCCGACCCCCAAGACAGATTCGGAATGGGTCCCGCGATTCTCCCAAAATGTGAATTCACATATTCCTTTTTTCCCAAAATGTGAATTCACATTTTCCGTTTTCCCGGAATGTGAACTCACATTCTGGCCCCTGTCATAAAGACTCCTATACAAAGTTCCGAAATGTGAATTTATGTATTCCTTTCTTTCCAAAAAATGTGATCTCACATTTTCCTTGTTCCCAAAATTTGAATGTGAATTCACATTTTGCGTTTCCCCACAATGTGAATTCACAATTTGCTTGGGCCCTCAAGATCCCCAAAACTGACGCGCAATGTTCCGCATGTCAGATTGGCTGGGCAGGTTTTGACACTCACCTCACCGCCTTCGTTTACTCAAACCGTGTCTTTTTGCGCCCTCAGCGCACGTTGCCTTCGTCGCCTTTCCCGAGCCCCCCGCTTTCTTGCTTCGTTTACCCTCAAGTCTCGCGCATGGGTGCAGGCGGGGAGCTTGAATTGGTTCCCCCGCCGAACACAGCAATCGAAGATGTATCGCCCGTGAGTGGCCCATAGAGACCATTGCCGGGACCCTTTCACCCTCCAAATGTTCGGGATCCACCTCACCGGGGAAATCCAGAGGCCATCTTGGGTGTGGGGGCGGACAGGAGGCAGTAAGTCTTCTTGGGTTGGTCTTGGGCCCGCTCGGGCAGATATTGGGTGTCCCGAAGTGTACTTCGGAGGGGTCAGGAGAATGAAGTAGAACGAAGACGAGAAGAGAAAGCAGGTCAGCAAGAGGAAGAGGTTCCTCCATTGCCTCCGTCTCTTCCTCGCGCGGGCGGGCAATAGTGTGGCAGTGGCAAGGCAAGAATGCAGGCGTGATGATGAAGTGTGTCATGGATGTGTTTGCAAGGATGCAGGCGCAACGATGCGGGTGTTCGGGCTTAAGGAAGCGTCGGATCAGATGTCGGGGTGCACTAGACGGCTGAGACGAGTTGGGATGAAGCTGGAAGTGCGTCACAGCAATTGCTTAGACGGTTGATGATGGGATGAATCGGGCAGCGTATGACTCAAGGCTGGAGATAATTGGTGATGCAATTCTTCAACCCAGGAGGCGTCGATGGGGGCCCGTCGAACGGTTTTGGGGGCCTCCGGGTACCTTTTTACGAGGCCCCCTGGGAACCTTTGCGAGACAACGACGCAGGCGTACATTGCTTGAACGGCTCATGCATGTGGCTGCAAGGACGCAATCGGTATGATACCCGTTGTGTGGTAGTCGCAATACACGGCTCCCCAGACGCTCCCACCTTGACCGCGTCCCTCGGCCCAGGGTAGGGCGTCCAGGGCACCACGGCTTCGGCCTCGAGCGCCACCTGGACACCTCGCCTTGACACTGCGTCTCGCGGCCGCGGGGGCGCCTCCGGGACACCCTGCGAGGAGGCGAAGTGTCGCGGACGACGGGACGTGCAACGAATGGCCAGCCGCCCCATCGCCAGGCGACGGGCCACGAAGATGGCCGCCGCCTGAAACCGCGTTCCTCGTTCCTCGCCCCCCCCGGGCCAGGAGATGATGGAGACGACGGAGAGCAACAGCGTGCTGCCAGGACGCGCTTGCCCATCCTGCCACCGCGCCTGGGTTGGATGGCTGTCGGGGTCTCTTGGGAAGCCTCGGGACAGCCTCTTAGAGAAAGTTTGAAGCGTGTTGGGAGGCGGTGAGCGTTTGGGGGCCTCTGCGGGCCTCTTATCGGCGTCTTGGGGGCATCTTTAGGCCTCTTGAGGACCTCTTGAGGGCCTGCTGGGGGTCTCGGGATCCTCCTGGGGCGGGAGGCGGCTCGAACGCACAGTTCAAGCTCTCCCTCTTGGGCCCCTGTTGGGGCCCGCTTGGGGCGTTCTTGGGCCGTCTAGAACCCCCATTTGGCCGTGTTGGGCTATCCTGGGGGCCTCGTAGGTCGTCTTGCAATGATATTGGGGGCCTCTTGGGCCGTCTTGGACGCTGCGAAGGCCAAAACAGTTAGGGCGCGAGAAATGTAAGTTCCCCCATATGGGAATGAACGGATGTTTGCCGCTCGGGGCCCTCTTGAGGTTCCTCTGGAACCGTCTCGGGCCGTCTTGAGGGCCTCTTGGACCGTCCTGAGGCCATCGTGGCCCGCCCTGGAACAATTACCACTACTACTACTACTACTACTACTACTACTACTACTACTACTACTACTACTACTACTACTACTACTACTACTACTACTACTACTACTACTAACTACTACTACTACTACTACTACTACTACGACTACGACTACGACTACGACTACGACTACTACTACTACTACTACTACTACTACTACTACTACGACTACTACTACTACTACTACTACTACTACGACCACTACTATTACTATTACTACGACTACTACTACTACTCCTACTACTACTACTATTACTACTACTACTACTACTACTACTACTACTACTACGACTACTACTACAAAGACGACGACGAAAACGACGACGATAACGACGGCGAAAACGACGAAGACGAGAACGACGACGAAAACGACGACGACGAAAACGACACGACGGCGGCGGGGGGAGGGGGGGGTCTGGCTCCAGACCTCTGCAGCAGGGCGTGCATTATGGGAAAGGTCCCACCTGCTCGAAACAGGCGCGAACACACACAGCCAAGATCCACTCCATTTTGGGGGGGAAGGTGGGTGCGAGGGCCCACGCCGATCGGTAAAACAATGAATCAACAACTATCAGACACGGCCTTGCGCCGCACGGGTATCACGGTTGATCCGTGTCCGCCGTCTACGCTTGGGTCAGGCATGTTTCCCTACAGGCGGGTTCTGAGCGAAACTTAGAAAATGCCCAACAAATAATCAAATATAGACAAAACATAGTCGATATATCGTCCCCAGTGCCAGACTATGTTCTACTAATTGTGAATGCTCCTCCTGTAGAATGACATGCCCGACCTAAGCCTACGCGTACCATCGGCGAGACGAGCAGTCGACCACTGACGGAGATTGTTGCCAGCAGCATGGGCGACCATTTCACCAGGTCCTCCCAACGATGCCAGGCGGTATGTCACTGGCGCAGAGGCCCAGAAAAACCTACGTGGGGAACAGCGGTTGACCAAAACGCTGTTCTGGTCATATCGTGAATCGTTTTGGGATTCTTGACGTTTTCGTTGTTTCGTTCTAAAGGCCACCACTAGTCTATTACGACCTCGGATTAGCGCCAAAACACTGTTTCGGGCAATCGGTTGGACTGGTTCCGCTTCAAAGCGCTTCAAAACGATCGCGGCACGAAAATGCAGAACGCTGTATTGGCCGACCCCTGGTGGGAAACCTAATATCCCTCCTCCCCCCTCCTGGGTTGCCCATGGACTTTGTCACGGCTGACCTGGTGTTCAGCACCCTGCGTCTACTGTGCCAGCGGAGACGGGGTCAGCAGAGTCCTGCCGGGGCGCCGCCGCGGTGCCGCCGCTGCTGGATCTCATCGTCCCGCCTAACGGTCCGCCACCCCCATCAGCACCACATTCTCCTCGTCCTCCTCGTCCTCCTCCTCCTCCTCCTCCTCCTCGCCACGTCCTCCTCATGAGAGGGGGGGCAGGAGGGAGGAGGGACGAGCATGGAGGAAGGGAGGACTGAGGGGAGGGACGCAGGATAAGGAGGAGCTGGTGCCGCTCCAGTTGCTGGTTCTGCTGCTTCTGGTCTTAGTGTTGGTCCTGGTCCTGCTCCCATTCCTTACCCTCCTCAGCCCATCGTGATCATCCGCATCAGCAGCAACATCAACATAAACATCATCATCATCAGCATCATCATCATCATCATCATCATCATCATCATCATCATCATCCTCATCATCATCATCATCATCATCATCATCATCATCACCATCCTCATCATCCTCATCATCATCATCAGCATCATCATCAGCAGCAGCATCAGCAACATCATCATCACCACCACCGCCACTACCACTACCACCACCACCATCGTCATCAGCAGCAGCATCCGCATCACCATCAGCATATACATCAACATTATCATCAGCATTGACATCAGCATTGCCCCATCATCAGCAGAAACGTCATCATCATCACCACCACCAACCACATCATCGTCAACATTACCATCATCACCATCATCACCGTCAGCACCATCACCATCACCATCATTTTCATCATCAGCAGCAGCAGCATCAGGAACAGCAGACGCATCAGCATCAACAGTGCCAGCATCGTCAGCATCATCCTCAGCCCAATCAGCATCACAAACGATATCATCAACGCAATGATTGTCATCGGCATGGTGATCATCTGCATCATCATCCGAATCAGCATCGGTGTCACTACCATCACCAGCAGCACCAAACTCAGAAGTCTTACCAACATCACTACGACAACCAATGTCACCACGCTGAATCACCGAACACCACCTTCAACACTGACATTATCAACTGCATGTTCAACGTAATACGGCTGTCCCTCCCTGGTGTTGCTCCTCCTCATGATCATCATGATGACTGTCCGCGTCATCCTCTTCCTAATACCCTCACGCACATCGTTTCCCTCCTCTTCCTCATGCGCTGAACTCCCCTTCTCCTCCTGGTCGTTCCACTGCTCTTGATCCGGATAAATCCCCTTTCCCAGCTAAACATCCCCTCGTCCTGATCAATATTACATGATCATCCCGTCTACATCCATCCATCGTCGTTCCTCCTCTCAAATTATTCTCCTCCTCCTCCTCCTCCTCCTCCTCCTCGTCATCCTCCTCCTCCGCCTCCGCCTCCTCACCATCCTCCTCCTCCTCATCCTCTTGAACACCATCATCAGTATCATCACCACCATCAGCACAATCATCACCATCACCACAACCACCACCACCACCACCAACATGACCACCACCACCACCACCACCATCGTCATTACCATTCGCCTCAGATTCGTTCCCATAATCCTCATCATCCTCCTCATCATCATCGCTCGTCGGTGATACTCCTCTTCTTTATTATCCCCTCTCTTCATCCTGCTACGCACTCCATGCCATCATCCGTCCACGTCGTTCCTCCTCTTCCTCCCCCACGGCTTTCCCCGCCACTCCTGCTCATCCTCCTGCGCCCCTCATCCTAACCCTCCATTTTCTACTCCTCGTCCTCCTGCTCCTCCCTCGAAGTTTCTCCTCGTCCGTCTCCCTCATGGTTTCTCCTCCTCCTCTTCCTCCTCCTCCTCCTCCTCTTCCTCCGCCTCCTCCTCCTCCTCGTCCTCCTCCTCCTTCCCCTCCTCCCCTATCAGTATTCCTCCGCCCATGTCATCCTCCTCCCCCTCCTCCCCCGTCATTATTCCTCCTACGCCGCCGCCACCCCCACCGCATCCGACTCCTTACCAGTTGTCCTTCCTCCTCCATCCTCCTTCTCCTCCTCCTGCTATCCACAGCCACAACACGCGCTGAACTCTGAGACTGGTGTCCACAGAGGCTTGGCGTGTAGGAGAGGTCCGACTCCGCCCGGCCACAGATGCAAAGAGGGACAGTATGCCCACGACTGCAGCGGCGACCAGGACGACGAGTAACGAGGATCACGAGGACAACCACAAAGGGGAGCATGAGCAGAATGAGGACGAAGAAGACGAGAATGAGGATAACGGCGAAGATGGGGATGAAAAAAGGTAAGAAGGATGATGGGCAGGAGAGGAGAAGCAGCAGGAGCAGGAGAAGTAACAAGGTGACGTTCAATGGGAGGGCAGAGAATGACACATCAGAGGACTCAGCAGTCGCATACGAAAAGAGATAGAGCGAGAGAGAAGAGAGAAGGACGAAGACGAACCAACACAAACAAGCACGAGCAACATCAACTTAACCAATACGAGCACGATGTCGCAATACGCAGAATATGCCACGGTGCCGTACCGCAGACGCTGAGTGGAGCGTCCCCAGATCCCCTCCGAGCCCAAAAATGTGGGGCACTGCAAAGACGCAGCCACAGGCTCCAAATCCCTGCTCACGGGCGCTCCCGGGCGCTCCCGGGCGCTCCCGGGCGCTCTCGTGCACGCTCCTGTGACGAACCGACAACACACACCCATACCCATAGCCAGTCCTCCTCCCAACGACCCCCCTATGGGTATGGGTGTGTGTTGCTCGTTCGTCATCCTGGGGGTACTCCGCGTGAATTCTCCAGAGGCCCAGGGAGCGTAATTCGGAACCGGGTGCTGCAGTCAAAGCTGATAGCGGGGCGGGGACGCGGGATATAAGGATGCAAGCCGCCTGGGACGCCCATGTCGA